TTGCATGTTTTTATATAGGGCGTTCTTGAATAAATGCATTTACCATGCGAAAAGTACTTTAAGCACTTTGTGTTTTGTTTTGGTGTTGGGGAATATTTCTAATATATGTTTAACATATCACCAAAGCTGTCCCTTTTCAAGTATAAATAGCATTTGCCACGGTATAAAAAATCAATCCACTAACCACCAAACAGTCGGCCACCGCTTAGCATAGGCCCGATATGGCTATTTTCTAACCGAAGGCGGCCAGAATACAGCATGCCACGGCAGAGGTGGTTCGACTTACTCCAGCGGGTCGCGTTTTGCTAACTCTGTTACCGTTTGGCCATCTACTAACCGAAATCGGCCGAAATGCGGCTTGCCACAACATAAGCGATACATCTCACGGCTGCTTACGCACCCTATCTACCTATAAATATCAATGGTTTGCAATTTTTAGTGTGCGTCTTTTATGGAACGGCTGAACGTTAATCGATTAGAGTAGTGCTTAGTAACGAATAATGGCTAGCTAATTAAGCGTGTTAAAGTATCTTTCCATTCGGAGGTTTTCAGTACTGAAACTATAGTATATATCCAGGACGTCTGTAGGCTTTTTTTGGTTGACCAGGCGGTCGAGGCCGCTACTCGGCCAACTATACATAGCCGACATTCTGACAGGCGTACATGCCCGGTCTACATGCCGAATACGTGTTACGGAGGCGGCCAATTTGACCAAACGTATTCGGCCGGCTAACTTGTGCTCACTGGAAAGGGGATGGTAGACCACGTCGAGACAAGCATTTTTGGTCTTAAGGGCATGTGTCCGGAAACGGACGGTTCAAATATTGCGTGCGTGGACCGGCCGATGTAACCTTGATTGTAAATATGGTTAATTTGAAGGTTTAGGTACTAGACCAGTGCAGAAGCCTTTAAAAATGGTAAAAAGAGAAAAAAAATAACAGTAGGATGAAACCCATTGGAAAAGGAGGGGAATATAATAAAAATTAAAGGAAAAATAAATTACGGGCGATCTGAGTTCGGGAAGTGGGAGGGGGGGGGGTTAAGGGTAAAAAATGGTTTATCTCGATTTCCGGCAAAACTACAAGTCCTATGGAAAAAAGTTAAATGTCAAAGTTGTAGGTAATAAAAAGATCTACAACTTTTGTATTTACAATTTTTCACATAACCTCAAAATTTATGTGAAAAATTCAAAAAAAACCAAGTTTTTGGTTTTTTATTTTTATCTTTTTCAAAAAAAAATTTTTTTCCACGAAATTTGGTGAAAATTTACCTTTTTATGTCCCAAATACACTGTAATTTATTTGATTTAAAATATTTATTATTTCGCCTTATTTTGACTTAATATCAAAAAAGCACCCTAATTTTCAATCGAAAATTCTCGCGTCAAAATATCAGCTTTTTTCAAAAAGTCGGTGTGCTTTTTGTTCGATGAACTCTCTACTTTCTGATGGTGTAAAAAAAAATATACATTACTATGGTAAATGTTCTCAGAAAATACAAAAAATATTATAATGAATAACGTAATCAGAATGAAGTATCTAAATTCAATAGTATGATTTACATGTATTTTTATATTTTATGAGATTTTCTGACATAAATGTTATTAGAATTTAATAAATAAACTTTTTAACTAAAAAAAATTGCAACAATCACATTTTTTTGATGAAATTGTACATAATGATTAAAATAAATTTTCGAATTCGAGTTTTTTTCGTTATTCATTATAATATTTTTTTGCATTTTCTGAGAACATTTAGAGATTTCAACAAACAAAAAGCACACCGACTTTTTGAAAAAAGCTAATATTTTGACGCGAGAATTTTCGATTGAAAATTAGGGTGCTTTTTTGATATTAAGTCAAAATAAGGCGAAATTATAAATATTTCAAATCAAATAAATTACAGTGTATTTGGGACATTAAAAGGTAAGTTTTCACCAAATTTCGTGGAAAAAATTTTTTTTTTAAAAAGGTAAAAATAAAAAAACAAAAACTTGGTTTTTTGAATTTTTCACATAAATTTTGAGGTTATGTAAAAAAATTGTAATTACAGATCCTTTTATTTCCTACAACTTTGCCATTTAACTTTTTTCCATAGGACTTGTAGTTTTGCCGGAAATCGAGATAAACCATGTTTTACCCTTAAACCCCCCCCCCTCCCACTTCCCGAAGTCAGATCGCCCGTAATTTATTTTTCCTTTCATTTTTATCATATTCTTCTCCTTTTCCAATGGATTTCATCCTACTGTTATTTTTTTTTGGTTTCAAAAATTATCGACCCTGGTCTATACATAACCCCAATACTACTATCATTGACAGTAATTAAGTATACTGAAGGTGACAGATACCTAACCTAACCTAAGAAGCGAAGTTATTTATATCAAAGAAAAGATTAATTTAACAGATGACCTAACTTTAAATTCCGAAGACCCTTTTAAATCTCATACCGCAGAAAATTAAAGTATGCACGGATGTGCAAAGCGCGCATCACACAGCAAAAGGTAACCAAAATCTAGTTTGGACTACCGTAGGTGAATTGATAATAGCTCGGTCCTTTATCAATAACATAGAAATAATACTATCAATACACGGAAAAAAATCTATACTGATTCCAAGAAAATTCAACTCTATCCAAGTATAGCTTAGTTTCCCTATTCCGCAAGTAAATTTATACTTGTTTCAAGTATCCTCATATTCTTATAAAATAAAGATAGCTTCGGTTTAATCTAAGATTACTGCTATACTAAAAATAAGAAACACACTAATTTTGAGTTAAGTATACAAATTTGTCTTCAATGAAGAGTACGGTATTCTTGTTGTAACGTTAGTATGTACTTCATCAAAGTATAGTTTCTTTGTAAAATCTTTACAGTATTCTTGATTTAAGAATATACTTTCTTTAAAATTTATTTATTTATACTTATTGTAAGTACACGCTTTACTTGCATAAAATGCTTGTATTCTTACTTTTCCTTTTTTATATTTGATAAAAGTATAGTATATATTTAAAATAACTTTACACTATTCTTAAAGAAAGTGGTTGATTAGAAAAAAAAATTCCCTCGTCTAGCGACTCGGAATAATTTTTACAAAAAAAACATTCGTGACCCTGAAAAATATTTGTATTAATTATTCTACTACTACGGAAAATACAAGTGAAAGTGAAAATATAATCGTTATGACAGTAATTTAACATTATTTTTGGCATATTATTTTAATTATTTTAATGTACTAAAGTACTAAGTATAATAGGCACTGATATCACAATAGGTTTATTACCTAACAGTCTTAGAGGGTTTAGAAAAAGTACTGTCAATTTATATAAATTCATTCTTTCACGGTTAATTAACATAGATACTATATTTTACATTTTATTTTTTTAAGTACCTAGGTATCACATTTTTGGTGCTATATGTAAAGGTAAGGTTTTTTAATCACAATAGTTAATATTTTTTTAAGTAGGTATTTTTATTGTCAGTAAAATTTATCTCCAGCTAAATAATATGTAAAATGAGTCTCTAAGAAGGCTACCATTATCATCGTAGATGGTTTGGTGTTAATTCTTCAATTTTTTCTCTACACTTGATCCTCAATCCTATTTTTGGAATTAATTCCTTTAAATTCTCCTCGCTTAGGTTTACCATAATATCGATATCTATCTCGTTTTCTAAAACAAAAATAATATAGCTGAATTGGAGGCTATAGCCTTTCTGCTGTTTATGTTTTATTGTCTATTACCTGTCGTATGCTATCCATTTTACACTACAGTATACCTATCCATTTTACACTACATTTTTACGATCATGCCTAGTTAATTACTTTAAATTAATGAAATATTATTTACTTACCCAAAAATGTGTCTAGTAAACATTCTAAGCCCCAATTTTTAAGTTTCTTCTCCATTATTTTTTATTAAAAATAACATCCAGACCGAAGAAGGAAAAAACGAACTGCCGGTGCCGACACGTACACACGCTACCACCATAGAACACAGGACAGAACTGAACACAGAAACTGCGTCTTTTCTTTTAGCGAAGCGGTCTTAGAGGGTGGACGGTATTTACTTAAGCGAAGAATAAGGTATTTGTTTTAATAATAGCTATACTTAAATACAGTATAGTGTATTCTTTGTTCTAGTCTTATACTTAAATTGAAGTATAAGCGTTCTTGAATTAAATATACATATATTTAAATAAAGTATACCGAAATTTCATACAAATATACAGAATACTTAAATCAAGTGGCAATATTCCGCTTTGAGTAAACAACTAGAGGTCTTTCATCTAAGTATTATTGTATATTTGATTTAAGTATACCAATTTTCTTTAAAATAAAATACCTTTAAACTTAATCCAAGAATACTCATCTCAAATCAAGTAACAGTTTTTCTTAAAAATTAAGTATATCCCATTACTTAGTTTAAATGTACGCTAATCTCATAGAAATAATAAATATACTTAAATCAAGTTCCTAACATGAAGTATAGAACTATTCTTAAACCTAGTAAGGGATTTTTTTCCGTGTACCATAGTTACAACCAAGGTTACATCCAGCCTGTCCGCGCGCGAATATTAAAGGTGCTCGCAGTTTTTGACGCCTGCAGCTTGGTAGATAGGCGTTTCCTGACACCAAGGCCAAAAATGATGGTCTCGGCGTGGCTTACTAGCTCTTTTACCATTTATTCCATAACACCCTGTATATCGAATTAGCATATTAGTTTGTTTGCATCAATTATAAAACAACCTTTATAAATAAAAAATTATATCAATACAAAAATTAACAAAAACACAAAAAAGATTATTAATTCCATAAAAGGTGTCTACATACATTTCATTGATAAAATTATATAAGAATGGGCATGTTTTATAAACAATCTAGTATTTAATTGGCATTTAATGATCATAATAACCTTCATTCATTAAAGTACCTTTTTACAACTTTAACTGAGTAAAAATAAAAAGTTAATATTAAATTCTTTAATAACATGTTATTTAATTTTTAGGTTCCTGCTACCGGTAAACGAAGACAACTGGCCGTGGCGCATATTAACATGCGAAAATACGCGAGCGTGGAGAGCACGCAAAGCGAAGTCCAAATTATATTTAAGCCCACCTCAAAGAAAAAACTTGTTAACGCCAAATTGGACTGCACGCTTTCTTGCGTGTTTCTTCGGGAGGGAAAAGCAACGTAATAAAAAATACGATACTTATGGGTTTTTATTAATGTTTTTTTTTATTTTATTAGTGATGAAGATATGCAATCAATGGCTTCCCTTATGTCGGTGAACAATAACAGCGACATTGCACAAATGGAAGACGTTGAAGATGAAGATTATTCGCTAAACGACAATAGCATAATGAAGAATAGTTTGCACGAGGTCACGGCGAATCTTCAACAAATGACCAACAGTTTATCGGGGTCAGATTTTGCCAGCACACCAATAAGTGGTACGTAAACTTACATTTTACATTTACAGGTGCCAACCGAAATATGTCGAACTTTGCACATTTGGTCAAAAAAGTATAAAGATATTGTTGAAATAATGTCCAATTTATATTCAGCATGATGTCTGTCTCTTGTATTGTATAAGAAGATAAGACAAGAAACTTACACCCTAAGTAAACTAAGCTACACATAAATATATAAAATGCAGACCACGGAGAAGAATTAAGATGTGATTAAATTATTCTTGGATCACTTTTAATTTCTATGAACAAAATAAATTAGAGATATAATAAAACAATTAACTATATTTTACTTGTTAGTTTAAATTTTATGGTTCATAAACATTTTTTAATTTCCTCCATTTTTTGAGTTTGACACATCAAATTGGCTTGAATATCAAACGTATGAAAACAAAATTCTTTCCAAAAGTTGCAATAATTCCTACAATATTCTACCAAGAAATATTTTTTCCCAAACCAACATAGTTGGAGGTATTTTTAAACAATCCACTACCTATGCCAGTTTTATGTAATTTTATGAAATTACTTTTTTTGTCATAGCAACGCGAATTCACAATGCGCGCAGACGTACACAGACATGCGGGCATTTTGCCTAACTAATATTTAACTAGAGTTTTGTTCGTGTTGAATTCTCCAACTTCTGCTTTTAATGCTTGCAATTCTTAAAGTTGCTCTTTGGCCAATTATTGTTTCACCTATGCATCATTTAATTCTCGTTCATTCTGTGCATAGATAAAAGATGAATATATGTCTATCCTTATAGTTTATAAGACATCAGACGTAAACAGCGCCTTTAAACGCGGGCGATTTAAACGTTATGTTTAAGTTGACTTTTACCCTAGATCTATTTAGAACTTTCAATGTAGCTTTCAACAGAGGGATAATAATTAATAAATCATAATAAATAAATAAATCTTACAGAAATATTCATTATTAGGTAGGTATTAATATTAAACAGTGAAAAGGTTAAAAATAACAAACGATAAAATAAAATAATTGTAATGTAAACTTGAACAAATTTATAATACTTTTCAAAAAAGAAATTTACAAAAAATAATACAAAAATAAATAAGGTTATTCAAAATATTTAGGTAATTTTATGAAATTAGACCCTTGCCTTTCTAATAAACAATTTTTACAAATTTATGAATATGAAATAAATTTTTAATAGCGCACAGTCCTATTCACTTTGATAAGTTTTACTTAACTGTAGGTAAAGTGAAAAAACACAAGTTAAGTTTTATACATTTATAAATAAAAATGACAGAACATAAAAATTCAGTAAAATTATTATAGAATAAAAAAAATAGATAAAAAATAAAATAAATAAATATCAATTCCAGGAACTCGAATTCCGCTTAAGCCGGCGGCTTCCTGGTAGCGCAGGGGTAAAGAAAAAATTAAAACATTGGTTTCCATTTATTAAGCTATTTAATGTAAATACAAAAAATATTATGCGACTTTTTCTACAAAATTGACTTTTGGTCAAATAACCCTTGGTGCTACGGCTTGCGCAATGTTTATATTTCAAAGTCAGGTGTCGACCCCCATTTACATATCATGCACCCCCAATTTTTATTTTCGCTGATATAGACCCCTTGCAGGTCAGAATCGACCCCTGGGGGTCGATATAGACTACTTTGAGAATGACTGCTCTAAACTCTAAACTATATGCTTTACTTACCGTACCGTGATATTAGACGTTGTATACCTAAAACACTTTTTTTCACAATAAATATTAAAACTGTTATCAACAACTAACGCGTACGTCCTGACAGTTCTACGCCTTGACAGTTCTAGAACTTTAAGGAGTGCAACCTCGCACAGCAAGGCGGGCATTCAGTTTGTTTTTTTAAGCGCTCGCACGAATTCTCGAAACTTGGACAACCCAGTTTCTCTAATGAAGTTATCCACGTAAAAAAATGGTCGTCAGTACAATTACTGACATTATTTCTTTTGTCTTTTGTCCCAAAAAATAGCGTTTTTACAATAAATTAAAAACTCGTTGGTGATAAAAATCACGGTTTAGGTTTGAAGGTAAATTTAATCTAAATCTTGTCCCGATAACATAATGCACAATGTGAATAATTTCCAAAGTAATACATCGAGGTCTTGTACCATTTTTTTTTAATTTTTAGTGAACAGTATACAGTCTTTGTCGCGAGACGACAAAACGCCAACGGCGGAAACTTTTTCGCCGCTCAACGAAAAATCGAAGCTAGTCAATTCAGCGCCGGTTTCTGCACCGAAACCGGGGGATTTTCAGGAACCCGACACCGATTTCTATTCGGAACAATGTTCGGATTTGCTCGACAAACTCGACAGTCTCGAGGAGGAGAACGAAGACGACTTGGCCATGTAGGTGACAAAGTTAATTAAAAATAAATAAATGATTAAAAAAAAGTGTTTATTATGAGAATAAATTGAATAAGAAACTGTAGTAAATTTGAAACGTTTTAGTACAGTGGTTTTTAAAGTAAACTAACGGATGTTTTGTCCCCAATTGGTTCAAATAAACTTTGTGATATATTCAATTTTAACCGCAATTAGGTGATTCTTAGCCAACTTTTAAATGAGTTTAATGCTGTTAACCTTTAAAGTAATTAACGGCCGCTTTTGTTGATTAAAGGAAAAATTTCACAAGACATTTTTTAGTGCTAATATACGATAAAGGCGATTTAAATTAATTACCTGTATAAATGTACAGTATACATTCGTATTCCTTTCTTTCAATAATACTAAAAAAATTAAAATAAAAATTTCTATTTTCAACATTTCTACGTAAAATTGTGGAACAGTTTGATATACAGGGTGCCACCAAATAAGTTGTCATCCTTTAAGGGGATGAAAGTACACGCCAAAATAAGAAAGTCTTTTCTGTATCATTTTTGCATTAGTGCCATTTTTTTAATAAAAAAATCATTAAAATTTTTATATGTAAAGTAGAATTTTTTGGCCGCCAAAGGTTGTTAATGACCTATGACAACTGACGCAAAATATGCTTGCACAGTGGGTGTAATCTACATTCATTAAAAATTTACATTTGTGTTATCATTGATTAAGTAACTTTGTTATCATTGATTACTGACAGTCCGGTTGTTATTGTGGTTTCTCTGGGGCTACATGAACAGCTAGCTTAGTGTACCAGACTAACTTGACACATTAGAACAACTCCGCAAACTTGTCATTTTGTGTGGATAACGGTGGATAATAACGGCGAGATAGTTGAAGTACCTAAAAATAGTTGAGTATGCAAAAGAAAAAACAATTATTAACATAGTACTATGTTAATAATTGTTTTTTTTTTGCATACTCAACTATTTTTAGGTACTTCAACTATCTCGCCGTTATTATCCACCGTTATCCACACAAAATGACAAGTTTGCGGAGTTGTTCTAATGTGTCAAGTTAGTCTGGTACACTAAGCTAGCTGTTCATGTAGCCCCAGAGAAACCACAATAACAACCGGACTGTCAGTAATCAATGATAACAAAGTTACAACTAACAGATTTTAAATAAGTTTAAAAGTTTGCTTGATATTACATAACACACTGAGGTAAAAACAATGATGATATATAGGATAGGTTAGTTACATCCACTGGCTCCATCGATTTGTAAAAAAAATCATATTTTTTTTATTAAAAAACAGTAGCTCTAATGCAAAAATGAAAGAGGAAAAACTTTGTTGTTTTGGCGTATACTATCATCCTCCCCAAAGGATGACAATTTATTAGGGACACCCTGTATTTTTCATAAAGAACTTGTTTACTTATTTGAAAATAAATTTAATACTAGTTGGCAGATTGCAATTGCAAATAAATTCTCATCATATTATTACCAACTAACTTTATAGTTAAGATGTTATTGCCGATTTCGCTTCATTTTTTGCAGATTTACACAAAAATCAAATGTTTACCATGAATAATACCAAGAATATTTTTTTCAGGCCCGCTTTTTTATTTGTTCTACTATACTCCCCAAGAACATTTTTGTGAAGTCCGTTAAAGCGTGATAAAATAAAATAATCCACGTAATAAAATCGGATAAAACATTTAGGAGAAATGCAAAAATGTAACAATGGTCCTAACAAATTCTGTTTACAGAAGGTCCACGAAATGCATGTAGATTGTATTTCAATGTCTACGAAAATCTTGCAGAACTATTTTAACTATGTGGATAAGTAAGGGGCATCCATGCAAAAGCCGATTAATCAATTTTGAGAAAATTATAAAAAACATTTGCAAGAGATCACCCTTACATGTAAAAAAGAAAATAATAATATTGCAAAAGTATGTAACATTTCAGGAGGACAAAAAAACGTTACTGAGGACTTTTCTATAAACCTTAAAACATGAAGAGAAATATAGTAAAAAACAATTTTTATGCTTTAAGGTTTTTAGAAAAGGTTACATTATCGTTTTTGTCCTCCAAAAAGTGGCATACGACCTTTTGCAGTATTAACGACGATATGATATCTTGAAGTAAATATTGGAAAATTTTGGAGAGCTTTTTTTAACTTTTTGGATTTAATTTTTCTTGAAAATGTAGAAAACTAGCAAGTTCTAATGAGTTTTTTTATCAATTTTTGGTGTTAAAAATTATAGTTAAACAATAAAAAAAGAAGTTTATTCCAAATTCACCAATAACACAATAGTATCTAAGAAATTTAACCGTAAGATAAACTTAACCAACGATTGAAAAACCGGCCCTATGTGTTCGAGGGTTTTTCGAGGAAATATTTTTAAAGCCCTTTTATTTAATAATAAAAAAACTTTCGAAAAATAACTTTTTACTTATTATGCGTTAATTTTGACGTGCAGTGTAGTTTTGGGTATTATTAAATTTCAAAGTTTGTGATTTAATTTTTTTTAGTTGGTTTCTTGGCAGTAAGCAAGCCTATACGAAAATTCTCTGACAACGTTTTGAATGACTTCCTCACTGACACCGCGACATTCTTCACGAATTTAATTTCTCAAGATTTCTAAATTTTGTGGTCTGTTGATGTAGACTTTTGATTTAAGGTAGCCCCATAGGAAAAAATCGAGAGGGGTGAGATCCGGAGATCTCGCGGGCCACTCTATCGGTCTCGTCTTTCAATCCACCTTTCAGGAAAACAGGTGTCCAAAAAAGAACGGACAGGACGCGCATAGTGCGGAGGTGGCCCGTCCTGCTGAAACCAAATAGTATTACTTGGAAGATTGGGATCTCCATCCTCGTTGGGAAATAATTCCGCTAATGTAAGAAGAAGAGAGATAGAGAATTCCAAATATCTTTGTCCTGTTAGATTCTCGTCAATAAATAAAGGACCTATGATCCGATTATCCACTATTCCTGCCCAGGCATTCACTTTTGCGGATATTAAGAATGTGCCTCTACCATCCAATGAAGATTTTCTCTGCTCCAGTAGCTACAATTTTGACGGTTAACTGTTCCATTTAAGAAGAAGGTAGCTTCGTCCGAAAAAAGTATTTTATGAGGAAAGTGTGGATTATTGTGGCATAAATTCATCATAGTTTCACAAAATTGTAGTCTACGGTCCGGATCATCTTCGTTAAGTTCCTGCACGAGTCTAATTTTGTATGGATGGTACTTTTCTTTCTTCATAGGACGTAATACACGTAACAAAATGTCAATTTTTGCGTCTTCACTAATTTTCGGATGGTTTTGGAATATCTTTGACATGTCCAGTCTCTAAATTTCTGTTCAATTTTACTAACAGTAGAACGATTTATAGGTCGAGCTGGATACTTTGCCTTAAACAAATCGCATGCTTCTTTTTGTGTTTTAGTTTTATTGCTTCATCCTACAAGAATTAAAACTTCAATTCGCTGTATTTCTGTCAAATGGGCCATACTTGGAAAGATTTAAAAACCGCTGAACACTCAACTAAAAGTTTGTACCTGTGGTAGCCAATTTTTGTTTAAAATCACACACAAGCAAAGAAATATACTCCTGCTGTTTGTAGAACAAAAAAAATTATAATAAAATAAGTACGACGAAAAAGTTTATACCTTAAATAAGGTATTTAAATAGATTTTATGAACATTTCAGCGATAACAACTTGTTTTTGTCAAAAAATCACTAAAAAACTATAAATTTTTTCCTTTAAAAACTAATATCTCACAAGGTAGGTTGCTAAAACCAGGACTTTATAGTCAACAGGTGCAATTCAAAAAAATTGCCGATGACGTCATAGCTTCTATAAAATGGCGCGAAATATAAAAATGTTACATCGTAATTAAAAAACAAAATCGACGTGTTCAACGATTTTTTTGGAAAATTGCAGGAATTTTTTAATAAAGCTCCAAGGAAACTAAAAAATCAACACACAACAATCATACTTAAATTGTTGCATTTAAACTATTAAAATAATGCTTTTAAATTCTTTTTTTTAATGGCTTATTTTATTTGCTATAGATGACTCTTCAACGTCCAATTAAAAATATGGGCGTGAAAAAAACTACTAGGTATAACTCATAGTAATACATGATTCGAAAAAATTACCTTGACAGGCTATAACTTGGGAACCACTGACATTTTAACCTTTTATTTCGTGATGCATAATAGAAACACTATGTATATTTTACGGCTAAACATCGAAATTGGTTAGTCTCGACATTACCCGGCTTTGAGGTAAAAGTCCGAAGAGTTTCGAACGCTTCCACCTTTAACTGGCTAGAACTTGGTAGGTTGTGTCGGGTTGGGTTGGTTAGTTTTAGTTTTATTTGCATATATTTTATATAATAATAATATTATTATATAAAATATATGCAAATAAAACTAAAACTAACTATCTTATGCATACAAAGCAATATATTATATTGCTTTGTATGCATAAGATAATATAGCGGAACTCTTCGGGGTTAAATGCGACATAAGCCGAGACTAACCAATTTGGGTGTTTAATCATAGCATATGCAAGAAATGCGGCATTCTATCAGTGATGACGGATTCTACACTGAATAATTGTATGATCACAATGATTACGTATCATACTTCCTTGCTCACCTAGTTTAAGTCTGAGAAATAAAATGTACAATACACAATTTAATTATTATTTTTTTAAAGATATTTATTTCTATTTTCTTGTTTCTAAGTGTAAATCTACCGAGCAGTAGTCCCCCAATGAAACCCATACGAAACAGCGTTAACATAAAACTGCAACCTTTGGATCTGAAAGAAATGATCGAAACACCAAAATCCTGCCAAAAATCAACGACGCCCGGCCAGGACTTGCTAGAATGGTGCAAGGAAATGACAAAGGACTACCAGGGAGTTAAAGTTGCCAATTTAACCACCAGCTGGCGTAACGGCATGGCATTCTGCGCGTTGATTCATCATTTTGAACCAGAACTTATGTAAGTACACTCAAAAAAATATTTTAATGATTGTATTTCTTTAAAAGCCAGACCTAGAGATAATGTCAAATTATTATCGGTCATTTGGAATCAGTCAAGTTTGGCGACACGATTTCATTCATAAATACTCTAGTAAAGGGTGTTTTTTTGGAGGTATAGAACTTGAAATAAAAATGAAATAAAACAAAAAAATTATGGTTATGGCCATTGTATTGGCTTTATGCCATTATTGTTTAAACATGATTTAGGGTGTGTGGGCTCCGCGGTTGGCTCAATTGAAGCGCAACACTTTTTCGAGTATATCGGCATTACTAAGCTTGTGAACATTAACGTCATTCAATTGGGAAACAAAAAAAGTAATCAATCTATAACTGTAACTTTCATATCTATGAATAAATATGAGGATTTAACAGCTCACAGCGGGGCCGAATTGAAAAAAACAGTGCATTGTGGCTTTTCTTGCGGTTAAAAAATTTTTTCAGCAGAAATGAAGTCTGAAACCTGAACTCATGGAGACTACACAAGGAGTCCGAACTTCTTGTATACAAAAATCTTTCTAAGAAAAGAGGGCGCTGGTGTTTCGTTTATTAATAAACAATTATTTGATTTGTACCAAAACAGCAGACGTAAATACGCATCGACAATCAGCCCCGCTGGTGGTAAAAAATAAGACTTAATTTGTGCAATTTTAAGGGCAGGTTTTGTCAATTTCTCCTATGCTTGAACTAATGAAATATAAATCAATGTTCTAGCATTATTATTCTTGATTTCTAGTTGAGTTTTGATATTAATTACGACATTTACCCTTAATTATTATTAAAATCAATCTCAATATTTTTTTCACACAACTCAAAGCCCGGTAAAACGAAGATAGTCAATAGCGTTTACAAGTGTAAGCGCGCATCTAGTTGTCTATCATTGACGCAGAAAATGAAGGCAAGTTTTAAATATTGACTTATTTTTATTATCCAATAGATGAGCTAAGCCATGAAAATCATGCCAAAATTCGGTTTTTAAGCAAAATTTGGATTTAAATATAAGTTTTATTACCCTATTCTACCCTGTTTGGGTTCATGAATTCAGTTGATTTTTAAAGTTTTTAGATTTTTATTCAAATAAAAAAATGTGGTGAAAAAAAACCGTTGTTTTGACCTTTTCCACCACCAAGACGAGGTTTGTTTTCGAACAATTTTATTTCGACATTTTTTTACCTATAGAGCAAGTCTTTAAATCGATTATTTTTTATTTAAATTTATTTTGATATATAACATAAAAAAATATTTATCTACTCCTATTGCATAATTTTGGTGTTTTTCCGTGAATGTTGATAAGCATTATAAATATCCTGCCTAACAACGTGAATAATAAACTCAGTATTCAGTGATTGGCCGATTTCAGTATTCACTGTGATTTAAACCAATCGGGTTTTAAATTGGAAGAAGGCGACTATAATAACATTTAAAATTGGTAAAAAGTAAGGTTAACCATTTGACAGATGTCAGATTTAATTTATTTAATTTTGAAAATCATTTAATTTTCTACTTATTGGAGTGGATAAAGTTTAGAATTACACTCGAGATTATGCGCAATATTCACTCGGATGATTTAGGTCTCTCGTCTGACGACTCGAGACGTAAACCTCATCCTCTTGAATATTAGCCTGCATTATCTCTCGTATAATAATATACTATTAAACTTCAATTTTTAAATTTGGAAACCCCTTTTTGTAATAGATTTTCTTTTTAATTTGATTGAATGACAAGAAAGAGCATAAAATTTGCTACAAAAATCATGTTCTATTTTCTTACTTTTTATATAACATGTACGTATACATACAGGGTGTTATGTAATTAATGTTATATATTAAAATACTGAATACCTTTTGACATAAGGAATAAAGGAAAAATATTTAAAAAAACATTTTTCCAAAGATAAAGAAAAAATATGCATTAGAAGTTTTTTATATTTTTTGTGATACGCCACTGGTTACACACTTGTTTATCTCTGCACACCTGTATTTTGTGAGTACATAGATACCAACCAACAAAGTAGCTATCCCAAGCAGCATTTTAAGTTTAAATAACTACAAATTTACTACTAAGTCAACTTTAAAGTATTTTTTACGGTTAACCAAAACGGTTTTATAACGGTATAGATACGAAAAATTACCAAATTTGGGGAATGGTTTATTTCGTTATTTTACCTACATAATAACCTTTTTATCTACTAAGAGAATAACGTAATAAAAACAATATAAATACCACAAATTTACGTAAAAATAACGCTATAATTACTAACTGTTTGCTCTGTCTCTTTCTTAAACATTGACATTCGTAATTTCTTTGTTCTTTTAATTTATATTTTACAAAATGGTACTTACAAAGTAATAAAGGCCACCCTAGAGTAAAATTAAAAAATACATCTAACTTAAATTGTCAAAACTAATAATATTTTGCATTAAAACTCAAACGCACATTATTTTATTGATAAAAATACGCACGATACATCTTAAAAGTTATATGCCCTCTAATTATTCTACGGTTTTAAGAAAAATTATTGCTTGGGTAAAAATTCAACAAAACTTAAAACCTACAAAATTGTATAAAATCTTTTAAAAATTATTTAGTTTTAATCATTTTTTAATAACTAAAACTTTTCTTATTACATTTTGGAAAAATATTTATGAAAAAAATATTATATAAATGTTTAGATAAGTAATGGATGCCATCTTGAAAAAAATGTTCCCTTAAAAATTTATTTTTTACTTTAAGCTTATTTTTCCTTGTTTAGTCAATATTAATAGTATTTATTACCACTAATAACCCTAAAAAATACCAGGCGAATAGGAATTATTTACGGTTATAAAGTGGTCTTAATATCGTAAAATTATGACTTATGAGTAACATTTACCATTAAGTAAAAATTCTGACGTTAAAATTACCGTTAAATTATCCTTTAGGTGAAATACACTTATAATTAATTTTCTTTCGTAAAAATTACGTCCCTCATAATACTTTAAAGTGTTGAGACTTAAGGGTTATTAAAATAGGAAAAAATAACATAAATATAACTTATTAAATAACTTTAAAGAAAGTTTTACTTCAAAGTAAAATTTTAAGGTAAATTTAACAAAATATTTACTTAAATTAAGTAATATTGCCTCAAAGCTCTACGCTTTTACTTAAAATGCTGCTTGGGATACGTTGCCAGATGTAAAAAATTGTTACTAAAAATTTTTCTTGCAAAAAATAAATAAAAACTCAATAAATACAAAAGTTTTATGCCCTTAAAGCTCTAATACCCTTCTGTATTTATTTACTGATCCAGCTATTAGCTTAAGCAATGATTAGAAAATTTAGTACCTTTGAAATTTGAAATCCATAACCACAAAATTAATTTTTTCATCAGTTTTTTTCTCTGTTTACTCAGATGAAATTGGGACCAGTTCACAGGTTAAACTTTAAACATTTAATTTGTGTAAATAAATCCAAAAGCACTTCCCTTAGTTAAGATATTTAGATTTTATGAACATTTCAGCGATAACAACTTGTTTTTGTCAAAAAATCACTAAAAAACTATAAATTTTTTCCTTTAAAAACTAATATCTCACAAGGTAGGTTGCTAAAACCAGGACTTTATAGTCAACAGGTGCAATTCAAAAAAATGGCCGATGACGTCATAGCATCTATAAAAATGGCGCGAAATATAAAAATGTTACATCGTAATTAAAAAACAAAATCGACGTGTTCAACGATTTTTTTGGAAAATTGCAGGATTTTTTTAATAAAGCTCCAAGGAAACTAAAAAATCAACACACAACAATCGTACTTAATTTGTTGCATTTAAACTATTAAAATAATGCTTTTAAATTCTTTTTTTTAATGGCTTATTTTATTTGCTATAGATGACTCTTCAACGTCCAATTAAAAATATGGGCGTGAAAAAAACTACTAGGTATAACTCATAGTAATACATGATTCGAAAAAATTACCTTGACAGGCTATAACTTGGGAACCACTGACATTTTAACTTTTTATTTCGTGATGCATAATAGAAAGCTTAAGCTTAAGCAATGATTAGAAAATTTAGTACCTTTGAAGTTTGAAATCCATAACCACAAAATTAATTTTTTCATCAGTTTTTTTCTCTGTTTACTCAGATGAAATTGGGACCAGTTCACAGGTTAAACTTTAAACATTTAATTTGTGTAAATAAATCCAAAAGCACTTCCCTTAGTTAAGATATTTACAATTTGAAAACATAACCTAAAATTTTAAAGAAATGCACTAGATTCTGTCATAAAAGTTGGCAGATTTTGTTTGAATTTACCTTCAGTACAAAAATGAAATAACCAACAATTAATAAAAACGCCAAATTGACAATTTGCATTGTTAATTTTGTCATTTTTGTAATTAAGCTAAATTTAAACAATGTTTGTCAACTTTTTTGAGAGATTTTGGAAACACTGTGGTTACCAACCATAACATAATAAATCCACCCGATTAACCTAAAGTTCGTAGTCGATCAGAGGCGTACTTTTTGGTAGGATAAAGGTTATTATAAATTATTTTTAGACTTTGGAAAAAAAGTTTCAGGTGCTTCTTTATGGACCCTAAGGAACAACCCATTTTAATATATAACATTAATTACATAACACCCTGTATACAGGGTGTCCCAAAAATAGTGTGCAATAATCCACACTTGGTTTCTAAAGACAAAAATAGGAAGAAATCTTCTTATAAAACATAGGTTGGAAAATCTTCCCTATAAGGGAGCTACAGCCTCTTAAAGGGGCGCCCCTGAAGATGGTTTTTTATTATTATTTCCGAAACCGTTTGAGATAGAATAATAAAACTTTGTATCCATACTCAACTTTTGATGCTGAATTTAAAAATAACAAAAGAATTTAATTTTTTTTATTTAATTGTGTATTTTTATCCTCAAATTTTTTGTGTGCAATTTTTTTTGCAAGATGGCTACAAAATATAACAATAATAATAATAATAATATAAATAAATATAAAGTTTTTTACTTAAAAATGGTACTCTTATTGAACATCGATAAAGTGCACTGGTTATTTAAGTAAAATCAATCTCAAAATTTTGTTACATTGGTATATTGTGAATTTAAACTAATGGTTTTTTATTTTTATTTCCAAAACGATTCAGAATACTATAATGAAATTTTTTTTGCTTATTTATTTTTGTATGCTGAATTAAAAAATGTAAACGAAATTTAAAATTTGTATTCAGAAGTTTATTAAACGGTATTTTTAAGGTTCACTAGTCTAAATTTCATAAAATGCAGTTTTTGAATACAATTGATTTAAAAAAATTATGACATCTAAAATCACAAATTGAAAAAAACATTTTTTAGATTAACAAATTAACAATAAATGTGTGAAAATACATTGACTTGCTCGATGTCTTAAAGATTGAAAAGCTTGTAAAGTGGATAATTTTTTTCTTTTCAATTAATTTCTGGCATGATTAATTCTTTGAAGTAGTTCTTCTGGTGTATTATTAACAGTTTGAAAACTTGTACAGAGTCGGAGCAGAGAAAACTGCCTTTTGCTTGTGCTGTAGTCTTGGGTCTCTGTTTTTAAACTTCATATAATATAACAAAACCCTACCTAGTTTAAAGTTCAGATGAACATTTACATATCTTGTATGTTATGTAAATGTTCATCTGAACTTTAAACTAGGTAGGGTTTTGTATAAAAGTTAAATGTTAATCGATATCTTATTCTGTTCTCCATAAACTTCTAATGAATAAGTGAATCACCCTGTATATATATATATATATATATATACACAGGGTGTCCCGAAATTAGGGAGCCAAACTTAAACAGTGCATTATTCATAGAAAAGTAACACTTTTTTGTTAAATAAACATGTATCAAAAAATGCCCCATAACGGAGCTACGGCCCCCTGAATAGGAGCCTAAGAGAATAGTTTTTTTTAAACTATTCCTAGAGCGTTAAACATGAATAAATGAAATTTTGGCACTTTGGTAATTTTTAGATGCTAAATCAAGATCAAAACTGTTAAAATTTTATCATAGGCGTAACATTTGGGGGGGAAAAGTTATAAAAATAGCCCCAACTTTTTTCCGAGATAATATTTTAATTTTTTTTATGAAATTATGAAAACTTATAGTTTTTTACGAAAAATAGGTAGTCTTGATTTGAATCGCTCAGATGCACCATTTTCGAGAAAAATGCATTTATAAATTACTCTGCATAGCATACACATCTCATATTTTCGTTAAAATTTTGTGTTAAAATTTGGAAAATCGCTCCATAATAAAAAATAACAAAAATCGAGCCAAAAAATATTAACTAAACTATAAAAATAAATGTAAAGTCAGCAAATAACCCAAACGTCACTTTTGTCCCAAAGCTTTTTAATGAAAATATTAGAAATTATGCTAAGCATAGTAATTTAAATTGCAATTTTCTCGAAAATGGTGTATCTGAGCGATTCAAAGCAAGAGTACCTATTTTTCGTGAAAAACTATACATTTTCATAATTTTATAACAAAACATTAAAATACTCACTCTGCAAAAAGTTGGGGCTGTTTTTGTAAATTTGCCCCCTCAAATGTTACGCCTATGATTAAATTTTAACAGTTTTGATTATAGATCCAGATTCAGAATGTCAAAATTACCAAAGTCCCAAAAATTCAGGTCTTCATGTTCAACCCTCTAGGAATAGTTTTAAAAAAATGATGCTCTTAAGCTCCTATTTAGGGGGGCGTAGCTCCGTTAGGGGACATTTTTTGATATAAGTTTATTAAACAAAAAAGTGTTATTTTTCTATAAAGAACTGTTTAAGTTTGGCCCCCTAATTTCGGGACACCCTGTATATTTATAAAATATAGAAAATGATTTTTGTAGCCAATTTTATGCTTTTTTAAGTCATTCAATCAAATTTAAAATATTTTATTTTTCAAATAAAAAAATAAGAAAATTGATTTTTAATTGTTTTTAATGTTATGAATCAAAATAAATTCAAATAAAAAATAATTTATTTAAACCCTTGCAATCTACTCTATATATGTACAAAATTTTAGTAGTCTATTATTATAAATAAAAAAGTTATGGATTTTTGATGCGAGACAAACCTAGATTTTCCATGGTGCGGCGCCCGAAATTATATTTATACAAAAATGGCATAACATTATATTTCTAATACAATTATTAGGTACCATGCTTTTTACGTTTTTTATTTCATTTTACAATTCTATACCTCTAAAAACACACCCTTTAAAAACAAGTAACCCAATTAGTACCTATAGTTACTGGACGTTGTCTGAGTCATTGATTTTAAAAAATTAAAGTTTGTTTTTTATGAATAATAATGTTGTTTTATTTTGTTTTTTTCTAATATTTTGTTTTTTACAGTGATTTTGAATCTTTAACGCCACACGACGTTAAAGGTAACTGCAAGAAAGCATTTGATGCTGGAGATAAACTGGGAATTCCTAGAGTAATTGAACCAACTGACATGCACATGCTAGCAGGTAAATATTTGTATTAATTTACAATGATATGATTCTAAACAAAATCATTTTAGTTCCTGATAAATTAGCAGTAATGACTTATTTGCACCAGCTGAGGGCACATTTTACTGGTCATCAGTTGGAAGTACAACAAATCGGTAAAACTTCAGAGGAGAGTAACTATATTATAGGTAAATTTAATACTGACAAAGATACGGACATAACGAAGCAGGTCTTCGGTCAAGAGATCATTAACTTGCGCAAAGCAAAGCAAAAATCTCGAGAAAATAGCAAGGAAAAGGAAATGAACCATGCCAACAAAGAAGCCACAGACGCCAAGCAAAAACTGCACTTGCAACTGAAAATCACAAACGAACCGGAACCATTCAGGGAACCAAAAGAACAATCGCCCACTCTGGTCAAGGATGTCAAGGATATTATTTTGAGCGGTTCCAAAAATATCATAAGCAAGGTTATAACATCGCCGGATAAGAATAATAAACAGCAGCCGCCTCCCAAAAAAGAAGAAAAGAACCCGGAAGTGAAGAAACCGATGTTGATGACGCGGCGCGAGCTCACCGATCCTTTCGGTTCTGACGATGAAGAGGAAACGGTGGACAATAAATCTGCCAATAAGGTGAATGGGGACGTTAATGGCGTTGAAAATGACGAAAAAGAAACCAAAGATAAGGAAGGCGATATCTTCTCTGACCTTCCAAAACCAAATGCAGTAAGTCAAATTTATGCATTTTTTGTCCAATTTGGTTTTATTACATTTGAAGTATGGTAAAAAGTCAGCATTCAATTTTAACGAATTTTAATTACATTCTTTTAAAAACATTTAAACTTTTTTTTAAATGGTATTTTTTTACCTTAGTGCAGACATTAAAAAATAATTATTAAAATTTAATAATGATATTAAAAGCATCATATAATTTAATGGGGTATACATACAAACATTTTTTTTACAATTAAAGAGAGTTGGATGATGACTTCTTATATAAGCATTTTTGCACTGTAAATAACACTTTGAGACAAATTTGGGGTGACGAATTTTAAACCGGATTTCACTGATTTTTTCTGAAAGTATACCTATTTAATAGTAAAACCCCCCTCACTGAGTTTGTAATTTTTTTCTATGTTCTTATTAAGTTTTTGAGTAAAAAAAAAATATTTTATTAAAGTAGTTGATGTTTCTCGTTCCGATTCTTTGTAAAAAGGTTTTTCATCTAAAAAATAATTTATATTTATAAATATTTAATGCAATAAAATTTAGTTTTTGGGGACAATGCTCCTAAAAACTTGCCTTTTTTGTTTCTTTAGTCTACCTTACTAAATATTATTTCATGGTTAATTTACCATAACCCACAAATTGAAATTTGACAGTTTAATGACAGCGCTGAAAAAATAAGGCACAATCCAAACAACAAGGGCTGTGTTTCGTAATTTACTGCCATTACTGTCAGTAATTTTACTGTCAGTAGCGGAAAAGGACCGTTCCGTAATTTATTCAGTACTGATGCACAGTGAAATTGGAACGCGCCTCAGTAGCAGCAGAAAGTGACAATGGTTACTCAAGGTTATGATTTGTGATTTACTTTACTTTCGGCACAGCAGAGAACATAAATAAAAAATAAATAAAACAGCTATAAGAAATATAATGTTTGGTTTATGGCAGAGAAATATGGAAAATTTAATGTTATATGAATAGGAATAAGTATAGGAATAGGAATAGGAACTATAAAATTTCACTGACACCACAACAATAAGCCAAATACCAAAAAGTACTCCGCGGAATACAAATATATAACATTTTCTAGGTACTACCTATAGGTAGTACTCTAGTAGGTAGTTTCATATTCTGGGTCTTCGTATGCGTACTCCCCGCCGACCAGCCTTCGTCACTGCTGCTGTTCCGTAATTTACTGTCAGTACTGTCGGTACTGAAAACGCATTCCGAAATCCACTTTCAGTTACTGAGCTCAGTGGTAAATACTACCCTTTTATAAATGTACGGCAGATTAATTTTACTGAAACAACTGGGGACAGAGAGGTGCTGTGGCTCCAGTAAAACACATAACCAAACTTTTAAACAAAAAATAGCTGTCAAATAAAGTGAAGGATATAAATTATATCATATAATGGTATTTGGTGAATACCTATAGGACTAATTATTTCAATATTTATTGATAAACTATTACTTAAAAGTACAAGCAGCAGTGACGAAGGCAGGTCGGCGGGGAGTACGCATACGAAGACCCAGAATATGAAACTACCTACTATAGTACTACCTACAGGTAGTACCTAGAAAATGTTATATATTTGTATTCAGCCGTCCAATTTAAGAGTAATTTTTGGTATTTGGCTTATTGTTGTAGTGTCAGTGAAATTTTATATTTCCTATTCCTATATACATTTTTCGACGCGGACGACGATAACATTAAATTTTCCATATTTCTCTGCCATTAACCAAACATTATATTTCTTATAACTGTTATATTTATTTTTTATTTATGTTCTCTGCTGTGCCGAAAGTAAAGTTTGTCAATTGTCAGTAAATCACAAATCATAACCTTGCGTAGCCATTGTCACTTTCTGCCGCTACTGAGGCGCGTTCCAATTTCACTGTGCGTCAGTACTGAATAAATTACGGAACGGTCCTTTTCCGCTACTGACAGTAAAATTACTGACAGTAATGGCAGTAAATTACGGAACACAGCCAAGGACTGTTCTATCTCGTACTAAAAATCACTGCAACACTGCACAGAGTTTATCGGCGGCCATTTTTGTTTTTTACAATTCTTGTGCTTTGGGTTTGTGCTGTTTATACAGATTAATAATCGTTGTGTTTCTTACACACTTCAAATGAAGTATTAAATCTGTAATATTTAGAATTTTTAAATAAATTTAAAAATTTGTTGATAAACTATGGTAAATTATAAATTGCACCACTAAAATTTGTATTATCTTTATTAGGGGGGGCAGGCTTTTTAAAAGTGGGTTTTTCTCTTAAAGTCTTTAATATTTTTGCATATTTTTTATGTATGTAAACTTTTTACAAAGAATCAGAATGAAAAACATGAACTACTTTTATAAAATATTTAATTTTTAAGCGAAATTTGAGGTCAATTTACAATTAGTAGCCTAAAACTCAAAAACTATAGGACCATAGCAAAAAATTCGAGCTAACTTTTACAAACTCAGCGAGGGTTTTACTATTAAATAGGTATACTTTCAGAAAAAAATAATGTAATCTAACATTTTGTGTTGCAATGTGTAATTCACCAAAGGTAAACTCGTTTTCTATTCGTTTATTGCATTTAACACTGTTTTGTACATTGCTATTAGAATTTTTGGCTAGCAATTAAAATGTTTTTCACGCGTGTGCAGCAAATACTTATGCGTCATTCAGAGCAACGTGAAAGGGCTCGCCAATTACTAGAGCAGACCAAGAGGGAGTCTACATCGAACACAACCTCGCCGACTAAGGTACGTACCTTGCTTCACGTAGATGCTTTAAAATAACTTTTAGTTTTTACTTACATACATTTATGTACAAAAGAAACCAATCTTTTACAGAAATTAATTATAAGTTTTAAAGGAGAAATACGGTTTACCATTGTTTTTATATCAAAACAATGGGTTACTTAACCCTTTCATTATGGACATTGTTGTTATTAACGCAAACGCTTCGTCCTTCCAGTAATTACACTGGTTTACATCCAAAATGCCCATTCCATGCCACTATTTTTGCCTGCTACACGCAAAAATACAATAACACTTTTGGATGGCAACATATTTCAACATATTTTTTCGAAGGCAGCTTTACAATTTGGGTATTATCTTCAGTTATAAACTGCCAATCTGGTTGCAAAATTAAACATAATCGCAATCAGTTAAGTAGTTTAAGAGCAATGGGCTCGAATATTGAAAAATAAGAATGCGACATCCTTTGCCAAAAATGAATTAAAATCAATACCAGTTTCGTAAATTGTTTTATTTCTGTTAAAAACGTATAGTTTAATTTAGTTATTTGGCATATGTTTCCATACCGTTTTCATCAACATGCAATTAATTTACAATACATTTTAAGTTGTTTTTTATTAATTACTATAGTTTTTTTGGTTCAAATTTTGAATTTTACAGTGTAATGTCGCTGTTACAGATATGCTATTTTCTTATGTTGACAATACTGTTTTTGTTTTTGTGTTGTTTCAGATAACTCCAACCCCACAATCCACACAACACTTATCTTTTACCCATTAACACCTACACAGTCTCACAAGAAAACAAAATTTTGACGCCGAATCCGATGTCAAAATTCGCCCTGCACGTCTGAGTTTTAACCTAACCTCAATCTTGAGTTGTTTTGGAATCTACATCGACATTATGTCAAAATCACTAATATTTTATAGCCTTATTCTTTTGCACTATACCGTGTTCTTTTTTCTTCGAAAGATCTGTTTAAGGTGTTAGCCTTCTTTTTTCGCCTCAAACATTCATTTCTCTTTTCAGCATCCAGCAAAAATCGGCTTCATTCCATCTACCCTGATATCGTTGTTCCATTACTTTGATATGTTGATGGAACCGTTCTCCTTGTTCTTCACTTTAGTCTCCAACATTTGCGGGGAACCTATCAAGGTATGAATAAAGAAAGTGTAATTTCAAATTCATTAAACATCCCAATGTTTGGAACGATATCAGGGTAGATGATGGCCGAATTTTGCTGAATGCTGAAAAGAGAAACGAATGTTCAAGGCGAAAAAAGAAGGCGTAACTCCTCACACAGATCTTTCGAAAAAAAAAAGAACACGGTTTAAGGCTGAAAAATATTAGTGAATTTGACTTAATGTCGATGTAGATTTCAAAACAGCTCAAGAAAAATCGTGAACTCTGAAATGAAGAGTCCTAGGTTAAGGTTCAAGGACGACGTGTGAGATTATTTTTGACAACAAATTTGGATTTGGCACGTTGAAAAACATAACTATTGATATGCCTCAACCCTAGAACAGAAAAAAATCAGTTTTTTGAGGTTAGGTTGAAACTTAGACGTGCAGGGCGAATTTTGACATCGGATTCGGATTCTAAATACATAAAAAAACCTACGTCACATACCCAGATCCGGGTACCTTTGTACTTTTTGTGTGGCTGTGTTCTTTCATACCATTTTTATACTCTTACCTATAGAATAGATTTCACTGAGAAATAAAATTGGTACTTTCAATCAAAAGATTCCAAATTTAATTAATTCAATAGTTTAACGCACTTTTATTTTAAATAAATTTTTCTACTTCTACCTTTAAAACGCCCATTATCGTACATGTTACCATGATACTAAGTGATCTTTTAAATACTCATTAACAAGCTCTGACTTTATGGCGTTTTAGTCACGTGCTGAAGTTAGCTTTCAATTAGTTGACAGATATCAAATCATCCAAATAACTGTTCTTGTGAAATAATGGTAAATGTAAAAATTATTTTATTATCTCAATACAAAAATACAAAATTATTTAAAGAGTTTATTCACGCCAATCTTTTAAAGGTTTTTGATTTCGCCTGCAGTATACTAGTATTTGCCGATAATTTATCGGCGATAAGGCATACAAAACTTCGGGTAGAGTACTACCCATTACACATCCTCTTCACTTTCACTGTAAAAAAACTTCTATATCGGATTCAAACGGTTGTCCATTTTAAGAGAAATTTCGATCTTAACAGAAAAATTTGACA